ACCTTACAGGGGAAAGAAAGATGCATTCTTTTGTTCACATACAGTCATTTAAGCCAAGGTTTCTTAACCTTTTTTTTTTTTATCATAGGCCCCTTTGGCAGTCTGGGGAAGGCTATGGACCCCTTCTCAGAAGACTGTTTGTAAATGCACCAGATAAAATACAGGATTACAGAGAAAGCCAATTCTATTGAAATACAGTTATCAAATTTTATATATATGTAATATTAACATTATGTATTAATATAGTAATTGTATATTATAATTTATTTCTATTACATCATATTATTTACTTATGTTTTATAGATTTATATTTAATTATATATAGACACACACACACACACACACACAGGCTCATAGACCCTAGATTAAGAACTCTTACTTTAAGGGATGAATCATAGTGGGGCCCCCAGTTTCCACAGGCTCTAGGCTGACACTGGATCTGACCCACTCTGACACACTTATTGCCCCTCACCCCTCAGACACTCTTGCCTCTAGTTTCCTCTTCTTGGCACAGGCATCTGCTGTTTAACTCTGACTTTGCTCTTCTCCAGTCTGGTCCCCTGCTCCTTTCCTGGCAATCTCCCAGGCTCCTCAGGGCAGGGCTAATCATTTCCCATTATAAATTCATAGATGTAGGGCTGGAAGAGACCTCAGGAATCATATGACCTAACCACCCACCTCCCTCATTTTACATATGAGAAAACTGAGGCCCAGAGAGGTGGAGGTGACCTGTGCAGGGCCATCTTGGTAGTAAATAATAGAACCTGGATTCAGGTTCAGTGACCCCAAGTTCAGAGCTCTTTCCACTCTACCACCCATGACCATGAGTGGGCTGGTCCTGCTAGGGTTAGCCTTGTTTCTCTCCTTGAGACCTAAGTAAGGAGTAGAGGAAAGCAGAGGATGATAAATCAATCAGCCCCACTCCCTCAGGCTTCATAGTCCTCTGTCTTGGCCACTTCTACCATGACGTTCTGAATCTCTGCTCTATTGGCTAGACAGCTGACTTTTTCTTGGCATTTTAAAGTCCTTTACGCATGCTGCCCCATTTGAGCCTGACAGCCACCCTGCGAAGTAGCTAATATGGGGTATTATTACTCACATTTTGCAGATGAAGAAACTGAAACTCAGAAGTTGAAATGATGATTGTGGTCCCACCAGAAGTAAATGTCAGCAGCAGAATTTGAATCTAGATTTCTCTTAATTTTCAGTCTAGTCTCTTTCCACCATGCCAGAGGTTCTTAACCTGGGGTCTATAAACCTGTTTTTTAAAAAAATATATTTCTTTATAACTGTATTTAATATTACTGACTTCCTTCATAATCTGATATATTTTATTTTATGGACTTAAACATATTCTGAGAATGGAGCCGTAGGCTCACCAGACTGCAAAGGGGATCATGATGTAAAAAAAATTATAAAACCCTTGTTCCTTTCCTTGCTCTTTTGTAAATAAAATGTTCCTCATCCTTGATTTCTTATACTCATTCTACCTTCTGGAAATGACTGAAATCTGACTTTCCTCTGAGGATGACAAATCCATCATCACCCTCACTAATGGCTGGACCTCTTCTCTCATATCACCAGACTCAAAGGGCTCCTGCTCCCCACAGCTACTTCCAGACAATTATGCCGCCATCATGCAACAACTGGTGGTTCATACCATTCAATTATACTACCCTCTCCCAATCCTAGCCACCATAATCTACTGACCTCCTGAATATACTCCTACCATCCTCAATAATTTGATAAACCAACAATCTTGGTTTACAATTTCCTCTCCATTGTATCCTCTACATCATCCTTAGGGATATCATTATACTTGTTGGTGCCCCTTCTAACAGCCTGGACACTGAAGTCCACAATCTTATTATATTCCATGACCAGGGCCCATTTATTTCAATTGGCACTGTCTAGAGCCTATGAAGAAGTTTTTAACTACTTTAAAAACTGGTATAATAAAGACTGACAAAAATCTTATATTTACAGGATGTCCCAAAATTCTTAATGCAATTTTGATCTTTAATAGCTTAAAACTGCCCTAAGACTTTGGAATACCCTGTACATATGTATGTATATATGTGTGTGTGTGTATACATATATACACATATATGTATTTATGTGTATGTGTGTATATACATATATGTATTTATGTGTATATGTGTATATACATATATACATATATATGGATTGTATATGTGCATGCAGACATGTATATGTTTCTCTATGTGTGGAAAGCAGCCATTTTGGTTCCATTAGAAACATAGGACAAAAGTCACTTGATCTACCCTGCCCCATTAGTCTGCTAAATAAAGTTCTAGGATAATTTGCATGGATCCAACGCTAGATGGGTTGAAAGAAATGGAGGAGTTGAAAGGAATTTCCTCACCTCAACCCAAATAGCAAGCATACTTGAGGTAGTAGCATCCAGAAGGAAATGATGTAGCTCAAAAGATATTTTTGGCCTAAGGACATTTTGCTGACTGGCTGGGTACTAGCTTTGGGTCTGACTCACCAAAGAACTGAAACAACCATGACGCCATGGGCCAGATGCACAAAAAGGATGGTGACTACCAAGAGACTACATAGTAGCTGTAATCCAGTAGAACCAGAAGATGGCAGCTCAGCAGAGAAAACTCACTCAGCAGAAAGTGCTTTCTCTATCTCTTTTAAAAATCTTTATTAAAGACAGAGCTTAAGGAGGTGGGGGATATTTTTAGAAATTAAGGTGATGAAGAAATAAAAGATATCAAAAAAATAAGATTTTTAAAAAACAGCCCAGCAGATAACACTAGCAGCTCAGAGCTCAATAGAAAAAGCAGCCCAGCAGATGACATCAGCAACCCTGTGGGGAAACAGCAAAAGTCAGTTTCAGAAAGAGAAAGAGGTTCCAACTGGGATGCAGTCTGATGAGCATTTGTGGTCCTAGCTATGAATGTTTATTATGTTTGTTCTCTCCTCCATATGTGTTCCTGGCTACAAATTTCCTTATTATGCATATTTTTACTCCCCCCCCCAGTAGAAAAGTGGGACAGTGTGCCCCTTTAGGTAGGCTCAATTAGTGATTTTTCTTCTAATTTTCTCCTGTTGTTACTTTTGCCTTTTGATTTCAACTAATGTGTCCTTTGACTTAGTGTGAAAACATAGAAATATCAGTGAGGCTCATGATTTGTGGATTAAGATGCCACATTACTCTTTGAATATCATGGGACATGTAGAGCTCACAACTGAGAGGGCCTCTATACAAGTGCATAGGGCCTGCAAAGACCTTCATCTTTCTCACATCCTGTTCATTGACAGCCTTCATCTCCACTCTCCCTCAGTCATTCTTGGGGACATTGTGGACATACCTTAAATCTCTAACATTCTGGAATACTGTTCTATAAGAAATGGTGATGGTTTCAGAAAAAAAATATACACCAACATATTTATTAACATTCTTTAAGTTAACAAAGAACTGGAAATAAAGCAGGAGCCTTTTGAATGGCGAATGGCTGAACAAAGACCCTTATGACATAATGGAAGGCAAAATAAATAGAAATATTACTGTGCTGTAAGAAATAATAAATATTATAAATTCAGAGAATCATGGGAAGGTTTACAGGAACAGATGAAGAATGAAATTAGCAGAAACGGAAAAACAAAGTACACAATGTCTCCCAGCCAGTCACTCCCATTCCACACAATGACTACAACAATATAAATGGAAAGAACAATGAGAAAAGAAACAAAACTGAAGGTCATGAAATTATGAGGAAGCCCTCCCAGAGAAGAGACAGGAGAAGGGGGCCTCCTCCTTTATCTACTGGGGTGTGGAACAGAAATATAAATTTGCATTTGTTTGATGTGTTGATTAGTTTTGCTGAACTGATTTTCCCGCCCCCCTTTTTTTATCCTTTTTATAAGGAATGGTTTTCTGAACGGAGGGATAATTGGGAAATACAGTGACAGAAAAACAAAGGGGGGCAATAAAATGTAAAAACTGTTATTAGAATTGTAGGACATACTTATTGAGCTCCTTCTATATGGCGTTAGGAGTAAAACTAGAGGTGTATAAGGCATCATTTCCTGTCCTCTAGCTCTTAGATCTCGGCTTTAGAACTGGAAGGGACCTTAGAATCCATCAAGATTCAGCCCTTCATTTTACATTCGCAAAGAGGTTGAGTGATTTGGCCAAGTCACACAGGTAGAAAGTACTGGGAGGTGGGTAGTAAGGTGGGATTTGAACTCAGGTGCCCTGACTCCAGAGCCACAACATGTCACTGCTTCTTTGTTCACACCAATTCGTCCTGAAATGATGGAGACCTTCACGGGGCTGCGCGTGGTGAAGCTGGAAGGGACCTTGGTGGTCCGACGCGCTCTGGTCCAAACCCCTCATTTTTGGGCACACTGAGACCGGGGGGTGGGGTGGTGGTCAATCCCTCAAGGTCACGCAGATAGTAAGTGGTCGAGCTAGGATCCCACCCCAGGCCTTCCTGACTGCTCAGACATCCGCCTAGCAGCTCTCCTCCCTCCCCGGGGATGTAGAGGTCAAGGCCAAGGCCACGGTCATAAGAGAGATACGCCCTCTCTGATCTTAGGGGAAGGGAGGAACTGGAGGGCGGACAGATGCGGCACGGATCCCGTTGTCGTGGTTACGGGAGGCCCCGCCTCCTTTCCTCTCCCCGCTAGGAGGGAGGGGCAGCCTTGGGCCAGCCAGGAAGGGCCCCGTCGGCCCAGCGGAGGCTGCAGGTCCCCCGGCGGAGGGGGCACCCCCCGCTCCTGCCCAGTGGGCTGATGTCCTCGCTCCAGGAGAGACGCAGAGGGTCGGAGAAGGAGCGTGCCAGCCAGAGAGCCAATCAGAGGCTGGCAGGGGAGGTGGCCCGGCAGCCTGGCAGCCACTCACACCCTGGCTGGAACTCTCCGTCCAGCCCGGGACTGGGCAACGTCTGTGCCAATCAGGGAGTGGGCCAGCTGGGGCGCTGGGCCAATGGGAAGAGGAGGCTCGACTGGCCCTGGGCAGGCAGGGAGGGAGGAGAGGCAGTGTGGTCCTGCCTCAGTCCTGGCGCTGCCTCAGGGAGGGAGAGCTCGAGAGGGAGGACGCGAGGGCAGGATCCCGTGTCCCCACCCCCTTTATCCTCAGCCACAGCTGGCTGCCCCTCCCCCGCCGCACATCTGGCTGCCCCTTCATCTCGCATCTCAGGCTGCCGAGGCACGCCCCTCCCTCCCCCCATCATGCCCGGCTGCTCCCTGCTCTAGTTCTGTCCCCTAACCCCAACCCTCCCCACTTACCCCCCACCCTCACCCCACCTTAGCCAGCCCTTCCCCCTCCCCAGCCTCACCTCCCCCCTGCTGCCCAGAGCCAGAGGGATGGTGGTAGTCACAGGGCGGGAGCCAGTCAGCCGTCGCCCGGATGATGCCATGTCCAGCTCGGACGCTGAAGACGACTTTCAGGAGCCTGCCACCCCCACAGCCACCCAGGCTGGGCATGCCCTGCCCCTGCTGCCCCAGGAGGTAACGGAGAAGGGATGGGGCTGGGGGGTGGGCCTGCAACTTCCAACTCTCTGTCCATGGTAGACACCTAGGAGCGTTGGGGAAAGTATGGACAGAGCCAGGAGGTGGGGGAGAAGCCGACTTTGTGTATCTTTGGCCTGAAAGTGGCCACAAATCATAGGGGCATGAAGACAGTGGCGAGTTCCCCACCCTATTTCCCCCAGAAGGGGTGGAGTGCCTCTTATTTTTCTTCCCCTGAGCTCTTGCTGTCCAGGACGCCCGAGTCCTTTCTTTTGAGTCTAATATTAGCGGAGGGAGCCCCCAAAGACTCATTTCCACCCTTTCCCTGGCTGCAGGGGGCGTAAAGGCAAGGATTTGGGGCCCCCGGTAATCTTAGAGATCACTAGAATCGAATAACAAGCTTTTTCAATTTTTTTTTCCTCAACTTATCTCCATTGCCCAGATGTCCAGGGGGAGCAGAGGACCTAGCAGGGGACCGCTGGTACAAAGCTGACCAGATAGGGGGTGTGTCTCGCAATCCACAAGACCAAGCTGAGGCTGCCTCCCTCCCCTATTCTGCACCCCCCACCCCCCACCCCAGCTGCTGTCCTCTGATGTAATGGGGCTTCCTATGTGTTGTTCATGAATGGGCGACTCCATCTTTTCACTGTCTCTACCTGAGATGAACTGAGAAGCCTGGGAAAAGACAGTGGGGGGCAGCTCCTGGGGTGGCCCTTGAGGCTGAAGTACTGGGGACAGCCACTGGTCTACCATGTGACCTATGAGAAAGGCTGCGGCACCCAGGGAGTCCAAGATGGGGAGGGGCTTTGAAGGCACAGTCTGTGTCCTCTAGACTGGGGAGCAGGACACTAGGGTTCTTTTTCCTGTTTAGTCACTGACCTGCCTGAATGACCTTGGATAAATCCACTCTGGGTCTGTTTTCTACAGGTCCCCCAGCTCTTAACAATGGGGAGAATGATTGTCACTGGAAATTTGGGACTTTGGGTCTAAACAAAAGGGCAGGTGCTAAGTCCCTTGAGCTGTTGGAAGAAAGGGGCTAGTGAAAACCTCAGGTGGTGTTTATTCTTGGTGAGACCAAAGGAGAATTGTAAGATGGGCTCCCTGGAGACCTTCCCCTGAGCCCGGGGCTATAAGGTGTCATGCACTCAGAATACTTGTTTATCTCTGATGAGTTACCTGACTTGGAACTCATCTCTGAGTTTCCTTCAAGCTCACACTTAAACTCTGTACCTCAGTTTCTGCACCTGTAAAGTATATCGAGAAAAAGACTGGAGTCATTAATATAGGGAACTTCCAAATGTGGAAACTCCCCCGTCCCCACCAATGCAGGTCAGCACCCTCCAACCTTAGAGCTGCCTATGGTAGAGGTGTCAAGCTCCGATAGAAATGGGGGCCACTGACCAATACATACAGATCCCTCAAATGCAATCCTCACACTGACTTAGAAAATCACATATTAACATTATTTATGTAAATGTATTTTAACTATTAATGTGAACTCACATATTAATTAGTTAATATAAGCATACATATTAATATGAATTTTGTTGTTGTTCATTTTTCAGTCATGTCTAACTCTCTGTGACCCCATTTGGGGGTTTCTTGGCAAAGACACTGGAGTGATTTGCCATTTCCTTCTCCAGCTCTTTTACAGATAGGGAAACTGAGGCAAGCAGGGTAAAGTGACTTGCCCAGGGTCACACAGCTAGTAAATGTCTGAGGTCACATTGGAACTCAGGAAGATGAATTTTCCTGACTCCAGGCCTGGCATTCTGTCTGCCCACTGCATGTGTTAATATATTTTATTTATTAATATATTTTAAAATTTATTTTGTTAAATATTTTTTCCAATTACTTCTTAATCTGATTTGGGCTGCAAGGGAGGGTGTTATTGCAGTGAGCTGTTTGACACTTCTGGTTTAAAGCACTAAGAGGGGAAATGACTTGCCCAGGGTCACACAGCCAGTATGTGTCAAGTCAGCATGCATTTGTCAAGGACGTACTGTGTGCCAGGTACTGGGGATCCATAGAAAGACAAAAAAATGGTCCCTCCCTCAAGGAGCAGCCCAGGGTCTAATGGGGAAGACAACTTACAAAGAGCTACGTACAAGCAAGAGACAGGATAGGATGGCAACGTCAGAGGGAAGGCACTAACGCTAAGGGGGACTCCGAAAGGTTTCTTATGGAAGGAGGGATCTTAGCTGGGACTTGAAAGAAGGCGGGCTGTGAATGGACAGTCTTCCTTGGCTCAGAGACCCTTCTTTAGAGACTATACCACATTGCCTTTCTCTGGGTATAAAAAAGTAAAGGAACACTTGACACTTACTAGCTGTGTGACCCTGGCAAGTCACTTAACCCCAATTGCCTAAAAAAAAAAAATGCAGAGGAAGAGGAGGATGCCAAGTCCATGGTTTTGATCCAGGGGAGGATCAGAAGAGGTTATGTATGTGAAAGTGCCTAGCACATAATAATAACAACCACAACAAAATTTATGTTGTGCCTAATGTGCCAGGTACGGTGCTAAGCATTTTTACGTATATTTTTTCATCCTCATAAAAACCCTGGAAGGTAGATGCTATTATTATCCCCTTTTACAGATGAAGAAACTGAGGCAAACAGAAGTTAAGTGACTTGCCCAAAGTCACACAGCTGGTAAGTCTCTGAAACTGGATTTGAACTCAGGTCTTCCTGACTTCAGTCCCAATGTACTATCTACTGAACTACCTAGCTGCCGCCTCATACTGGGCTCTTAATGTTTATTGATTGAAAGTAGAAAGACAGGAGATAGGGAGATGGTGTAGGACAGAGGAAAGAGCCCTGGCTCTCGAGTCAGAGGACCTGGGTTAAAGTCCTGTCTCAGCTTCTTCCTCTGTAAAATATGGGGATTGGACTAAATGACCTCAAAGGCTGCTTCCAGTTCGTGATCTGGGATACTTCGAACCCAGCACATGTTGAACATTAGTATATCATCTAAGGATCTAAGAGGTCATTCATGTGGGTACTCCCCCCTATACCCACATATAATACATGCACTTCCAGCTCCATCACAGATCTTGATTCCTCTGTGATTTAAAGGATGGTCTTCTAGAATTCCCACAGTGGAAAAAAATGTAGCCAACCTAGTGATGGGCTCCTCTGAGCTAAGCCAGGCCATTCCTAAGAGGGCAGACACATACTCTGGTCACTGGCCTGTGCTTAAAGCTTTCAAAGTCTGGGAGCACCTGCCATGGCTTACGCCCTGCAGCTGGCCTGGCCTTCGAGAACCCAGGGTTACCTCTGGGTCCTAATGAGGCATTGAAACAGAAATGATTCTTCAATGGAGGCATGAAAGGGATGAGAGGTAAATTGGCATCATGGATACAGTCCCAGCCCTGGAGTCAGGAAGACCCACCTCTGACACAAGCCATGTAACCTTGGGCAAGACAGTTAACCCTTGAACCCTCTCAGGTAACAGTCTAAGTATGACCAGAGCTGGCAGAGCAGGTGGTGATCTGCCTGGATGGGGAAAGTGCCCTCACTGATGAAATCATATGTGGCCCCCAAAAATTAAAAAAAGAAAAGAAAAAAAGAAGGGATGTAGTTTGGAATAGGGCTCTCACTAGGTGGACATTTATTAAGCACCTGCTAGGTGTTGGGTACTGTGTTGGGAGCTAAGGATACAAATACCCATGCGTGACAATCCTTGCCCTCAAGGAGCTTACCTTCTACTGAGTGACTTGGACAAGTCCCCTGTTCTGTCAGATGGAGGGGTCGGAGTAAGAGACCTCTGAGGTCCTTTCCAGCTCTAGTCTACGACCCTCTGATCCCATGACTAGACGTCACTAAGGTTCCTCGAGGCCTTTGGGGCCTATGAGTCAGTTCCTAGCCTAGGGAACTAGCCCCATTTTTTTCACATTTATTTTGGTAGCACTCCGACCCAGTGAAACACATCCAGAAAATTCAAGGGGTGATGACACATTGTATGACACATTCAGGGGTTACGTGTCTTCATTTACCTGTCACAGGTAAATTTACCTAGCAGTTCCCTCTCCTCATTGTGTTGTTGTTCAGTCATTTTTAGTCATGTCTGACTCTTCGTGATCCCATTTGAGGTTTTCTTGACAAAGACACTGGAGTGGTTTGCCATTTCCTTCTCCAGCTTGTTTTACAGATGAGAAAACTGAGGCAAACAGGGTGAAGTGACTTGATCAGGATCCCACAGCTAGTAAGTGTCTGAGGTCAGATTTGAACTCAGCTCTTCCTTTTCCCTTCTCCAGGGCTGGTGCTCTATCCACTGCACCACCTAGCTGCCTCTCCTCGTTTTACAGATTGTTGTTTAGTCGTTTCAGCCATGTCTAACTCTTCACCCCATTTGGGTAGGGTATATTAAGTGGGGAAGGGAAGGGAAGAAAAGGAAAACACAGTGAGGTCAGACACCTCATCCAGGGTCACACCGTGATTCCTCTTGGATGCCCAGGTTCCTGCTTTCCAGTCTATTTCAACACCCCAATGATTGTTCTTCCAGTTCCCTGAGGTTGTCCCACTCAACATTGGAGGCATGTACTTCACCACACGCCTATCAACATTACGGCGCTATGAGGACACCATGTTGGCAGCCATGTTCAGTGGGCGCCACTATATTCCCACTGATGCTGAGGGACGGTATTTCATTGACCGTGATGGGACTCACTTTGGGTAGGTGTTGTCCGCTGCTTCTCGGGGGTTGTTCCACCACTGCGTATTTGGTTAGACGCAAGGAAACACTTACTGATGCTCTCAGTGTCTTAGGGACCTAGAACCTAGATCTCTTATAGTGTTTTAGCACTGTACGAGGTATCTTGTAGATACCCAGCAAATGCTCCACTAAGTAGAAAGATGTCATGATGGAGCAAGGCTGGCTGTGGACTTAGGAAGACCTGGACTCAAGACCTGCCTCTGGGACTCTCAGCAAGTCGCTTATCCTTTCTGGGCCTCAGTTTCTTCATCTGTAAAATGAGGGAGTTGGAACAGATGACCTCACAGTTCCTTTCCAGCCCTAAGTCTAACTATACTGGGCATGTCTCAAGCTGAAGCAACATCAACTCCCAGTGGATTCATGTAAAAAAAAATTCTGGACACCTTTAAAAAAAATCTTATATATTTGTTGATATCTTTTGTGTTTGTATCATCTTCATTTTTTAATACATTTCTTCTCCCCATGCCTACTCAATGATCCAACCCTGTGACAAAGATTGAAAAAGAAAGGGGGAAAAGTAGTTTGGTAAAATCAACTGACACATTGGTCATATGTGGCTATGTATACAAAAGGCCACACCCCAAACCCCCCACCTCTCCAAAGAGGAGAGGGAAGTACATTTGAAAACTGTACCGCTGAGTGATAGGGTGTCATGGGGCTGATTTTCCTCCAGAGACTTTTAAAAAATCAGAGGTGCTTATCTGTGTGGATTTGACCAGATGTGATCTTACCTTATGTCGTCCCTTCTTAAGGAAAAAAACCCAAACTTCCAAGCTTTTTGAACTAGATCTGAAAGATTTGTGATGCTATCAACAGTGATCCCCTTTGTCCCTGGACTGATTTCTTTGTCCAGGACCATAGCACGATGAAGGAGAGTGTAAGAAGGGCTCCTCTACCCTGGTTTTGGAGGTAGGAAGAGGGCTGGAATGCCCTCCTACTCCAGTGGTATGACCAAATCAGGCCACTCCTGAATTCCTGCCATTGGAAACTCAGTAAGTCATCAATTGCAGGTCCTCCACCCCCTCCACCTGCAAGAAAGACTTCCTCACTCCCAGGCCAGGCGAGGGGCCAGTTTCCACCTTCACAGAGGGGACATGTGGCCAACTCATTTGCTTTGTAGCATCTTAGTGTCCCCAGTGGGCTGTCAGCTGCCTCTGGCTCTGAGAAAACAACGTGTCACATCACTCGTTGGAGCTATAAAAAGATTTGTTTGTGGGCTCTTTGGGGGAGGAAAGTGCTTGGCCTCAGCTGGCGTCCCACGAAGACCTTGAATCTCAGGCTGGGCTGACCAAAGGAAGGGCTCCGTGGTGCCAGTGAGGCATTGAGATTTGGTTTGTTTGTTGTTTTTTTTTCCCTGAGAGGGCTGCTGGACTCTGGCTTGTGTCCTGTCTTGTTATGTCCTTGAGGATGCTTCCAAAGAGTGATGGGAGCCAGGTGGCAGGAGACTAAACATGGCAGCCCTGTCTGGCTCTAACCTCCTGCTGCCACAGCTTGGCAAAGGCCTGGGAAGAATAAGAAGGGTCTGAGGCCCAGGATGTTGCTCCAGCTTGGAACACATACCCAGGGGAGATAGATGGTGGGTGGGTTTTCCTCCCATCCCCAGGTAGGGCAGGTTCCTCGATTGTGGACACGAACAAGATGGAGGGTGTCAGGGATGGCAAAGGGCCTTGAGATGATGAGCCTTATGAAGACTGGCTGAAAGAGAGGGTATGTTGAGTCAGTAGAATCCACCAATCTAACAACAAGCATTTAGTAAGTGCCTTATGTATGCCAGGTGCTGGGGCTACCCAGATGAAAATGAGACAGTTAGTCCTTCCCTTCCAGGAGATTACATTAATGGGGTGGATGATTATAGCCATATACTGAATAAAATACAAGGTGGGGCGGGGAAGGCTGTTGAGTGGATAAGGAGAGAACTTCATGTAGACCATGGTGCTTTAGCTATATCTTTTTTTTTTTTTTTTGGCAATTGGGGTTAAGTGACTTGCCCAGGATCGCACAGCTAGTAAGTGTCAAGTGTTTGGTCTGAGGCCGGATTTGAACTCAGGTCCTCCTAACTTCAGAGCCTGTGCTCTATCCACTGCACCACCTAGCTGCCCCACTTTAGCTATATCGTGAAGGAAGAAAGGGGTTTTCTAAGGCAGGGGTAAGGTGGGAGTACGTTCTGGGAAAGGGAGAGAGGAGAGGACTGGGGTGGACAGAGGATCATAGGCACAGCTGGAAAGGACCTTGTTGGACATCATGTCCAACCTCCTCATTTTACAGATGAAGAAACCGAGGCCCAGAGAGGTTATGAGACTTGCCCAGGGTCATACAAGCTTCTCTGCCTTCTTGCATCCCTCCCTCCCTCCCTCCGTTCTTCCCTTCCCTGCCCTCCCACGTCCCCACTTCCCCCAGTGTAGACCTGCCCTTAATTTCTCCTTTGCTTCCTTCTCCCTTAGAGACGTGCTTAACTTCCTTCGCTCTGGCGACCTGCCCCCACGGGACCGCGTTCGGGCCGTGTACAAGGAGGCCCAATATTATGCCATCGGGCCCCTGCTGGAGCAGCTAGAGGATGTGCAGCCGCTGAAAGGGGAGAAGGTGCGCCAGGCGTTCCTGGGGCTTATGCCCTATTACAAAGGTGAGGAGGACAGGACCAAACCATGTGGAGTCTCACTGGCTGTGTGACCGTGGGCAAGTCACTGAAACGCTCTCGGCCTCAGTTTCCCCATCTGTAAAATGGAGATCCCAGTCCTTGCTACCTTACAGGGTTGTTTCGAGCAATCTTCCTTAGGATCCTGAAAGCATTGTGTCAATGTCTGTTATTATTGGAGTGTGCCCTAAGGGTTTGTGGGCAGATTTCAGGGGTGGGGGGGGGGCTTCTGATTTTTGATGGGGGAAAAAACCGACATCTTTATTCAAATATAGTTGTTTTCTTTTTCGGTCCTACGTATTTTATTTTCTGCATTTAAAAATATAAGGGTTAAAAATAAAAAAGGCAAAAAAAGGGGTAGCTAGGTGGCGCAGTGAATAGAGCTCTGGCCTTGGAGTCAGGAGGACGTGATTTCAAATTCGACCTCACGCGCTTGACACTTACTAGCTGTGTGACCGTGGGCAAGTCACTTAACCCGGACTGCCTCACCAAAAAAAAAAGTTAAAACATAAGGGCTACAGGTTTTCTCAGACTGCCCAAAGGGTCCAGGGTCCAAAAAACATTAGTAAACCGTGCCACACCTCAGCCCAACCTGTTTTACAGATGTGGGTTTTTCTCACTTAATGCTTCCCTTGATTCCTGGTTTTGGGTTTTGTTTTTCACTTAGAAGTTAAGTGACTTACCCACAGTTAGTAGGCATCAGAGAACCAGGTCTCCTTGACCCCAGGGCCAGCTCACTATGTTTAGCATTATGAGAAATAGCCTAAGAAAGGCATGGAGGATCGCCATCCCAAATCCCTGCCTCTACTGTACCTTTGTGACTTCACTGTGCTAGATAGATGAAAATTCTGGCCATTTTTTAACCAGACTTCCCAAGAAAGGGAGTTCAATCACTTTGATTCATTTGGGGATTTCATCCTTTTCCACTTCCCTACCCCTACCCCTCCCCCCATTTATTTTTCCCTTTATTTTCCCTTCCTTTTATTTTAAATTGATAAATAAATAATTTTCCATTCAAACTGATAAAATAAAAAATGTTATTTTCCCTTTCCTTTTATTTCAAACTGAAATCCCTATTGAGATACATCGCTTGTATTTCCCTGTTGAAATACACAAATTCCTTTTTAGGAATAGGAGTATTACTGATTTCTATCCTCCTCCAGGAAGCATGTCAGGAAGACCTAGGTTCAAATCCTGCCTCAGATACCTACTAGCAATGTGATCCTGGGCAAGTCTCAACCTCAGTTTCCTCTTCTGTAAAGTGAAGGGGCTGCACTCATTCATCTCTAAGGCCCCTTCGGGCTCCAGATCCGTGCTTCTGTAAGGCACAGATTGTCCCTGAGTTATTTTCGGCCCGTCAAGGGCCCTGCCCTTCCTCCTCCCCGGTTCCCCCTCCCCTTGACAGCTGCTGTTTTCTGTCCCCCCAAGACCACTTGGAGCGGATTGTGGAAATCGCGCAGCTGCGGGCTGTCCAGCGCAAGGCCCGCTTTGCCAAGCTGAAGGTCTGTGTCTTCAAGGAGGAGATGCCCATCACGCCCTACGAGTGCCCCCTCTTCAACTCTTTGCGCTTCGAACGCAGCGAGAGCGACAGCCCCTTCTTTGAGCATCACTGCGAAGTGGACGTGTCTTTCGGGCCGTGGGAGGCCGTGGCCGACGTCTACGACCTGCTACACTGCCTGGTCACGGACCTCTCTGCCCAGGGCCTCACGGTGGATCACCAGTGTATCGGGGTCTGCGACAAGCATCTGGTCAACCACTATTACTGCAAGAGGCCCATCTATGAGTTCAAGATCACATGGTGGTGAGTAGCCCCGCCAAGAAGCCCCAGTGGGAGGGGGCGCTGTCGGCTCTGCTTGACATCCCCTGGAGGCTGCTGACCACCCGTCCCAGGGACGTGCTGTGATGGGGACTGAGTCCTGAGCAGCCCAGACAAGGGGCCCCGTGGCATAGCTGCCCCGCTCCAGGGATGCATCTGGGGCCAGGCCCAGGGTATTAGCCAGCTGGAACAGCGGCCCCATCGGGCCCTTCCGGGAGCAGCACCTTCTTGCCTGTGGCTCGGGGGGTCTAGCTGGGGCCCAACCTGTGAGACCCAGAGCTATCTGACTGTGTCCCTGACCTCGAGGGCTGGGTCTTGAGCCATGTTTCATACCCTGGTGGGCATTAGTCCCTTTCCTTGCCCCCCCAGTCTCCCTAGCCCTGCTCTGGTTTCATTCCTTATGAAACCCTATGTGCCCAGGGTCCAGCTGGGAGAAAGGGAATGGAATATGCGAGATATGCCGGAATGAGCTCCCTAAACTCCCCATGCTGCTGAAGAAGAAGGATCTGCTTTTATCAAGTTACCTACTCCAAATATCCCTGATCAGTTTCTCCTCTTGGGACCCAGAGAGACCCTTCTTCCTCACCAAGCACCTTTCTCATCCCCTTTGGGGTCTGTGACCAGAGCTGCCAAAGGCCTGTGCCCGGTTCGCCTTAGAAAAACCAGTGTTTACAGCCCTGATTTGGGCACTGGTTCCTGCTCTCCCCCCTCCCTTCCCCAGCCCCTTCCTCACCATTCCCCCACCCCCTGCACAGGGCTATTTCCCATGGAGCTGAGATGCAAACAGCAGAGGCTGAAGGGAGGCAGGGATAGACATGGAGCCTCCATACACGCTGAGTCACAGCATCCTTGTCCACATTCCTGGCTGCTGTGTTCAGTGTGCAACTCATAGCTGTAGAACAAAGCCACTCTAGAGTCCACCACCATGAGACCTTGTTATGATAATCTGCTTAAGTCTCTCCCTCAGGGAGGCCCTGAGTTCTGAAGGATAAAAGGAGGGATTGAATGTCTCCCCAAGGGCTTGTAGGTAAGACAGCAATAATTCCCAAGAATACTTGGGTGTCTATATTTTGAAGATTTTAAAAGATCCAGAACATCTCTGGGCTGATCCCTTCTCCCTAAGGAAGCTGTTTGGGTTATGGACATGCCCTTCCTGCAGGCTTGGACAGTCAAGTGGTGGCACTCAGCGATCCCCCAGTCAGCATCTCCACCACTCCCTCGTTCCACAGTAGGACGTGTCAGGGCTGCTTGGAGAGAGTTCCATTCCTACAGTCACATCTGTATTCAAATCAATATCCATGAACTATAAAGGGTGTCTTATGTGGTCAGTTCTGGTTGGCCCAGCCCTATTGGCCCCATGCATATAAGGATTGGTTGACTTAGCCCGGGGCATCTAAAGATGCTGCCAGAATCCTGCTAGCGTGACAAAGTCTGAACCCAGGAAGCCCAGCCAGAGCCCTCCACTGAACCTGTGTGCAACGTCTTTGACGTGTCCCTGTGCAAAGCTGTCTGCTCCATAGGAGAAGTGGCCCTGAGGCAATGAGTGACAGGATACCCAGCACCTAGCAGAATGCCTGCCACATAGGAGAGGCGTAATAAATGCTGAATGAATGAATGAATGAATGAATGAATGAATGAATGAATGAATGAATACCAGCACTGGGCAAGAAGAAGTAGGAGGCAGTGGAGTGGAGGACCAGAAAGAGGCTTTCGATCTAAGTTGGCAGGACAGTTGTCTTCTGCATTTTCAGATACCCTTTCACATCTAAAAGGCAGCTGGAATTGTTTGTTTTGGGGTCCATGTTCCTGCATGGTGCTGGGTGTTGCTAACCGTGTGTCCAGTCGCATTGAGCTTAGCAGAAGTCTTTTTTTTACTTCACTGAGTGGTGTTACTGCCTAATGCGTGTTCGTTTTTTGACAGACACTGAGCCAAGCTATTGAGGAGGATGTCAGTGTGAGTAGAGCGCAGATTACTACCACCATTGCTGGCAGTAACCCGCATTGGCCTCTCTCCCCCTGCCCCCTCCTGCTCCCACCACAGAGCATCGCAGTGTATTTATTTAGAATCCACATGGGCAAGGCCCAGAATGACTGGTTTCCGAAAGCCCCTGCAGGCCTTCTTGAGGGCTGACCAGGATGCTGGGTGAGAACAGCGTCCCCCATCTCTCTGGAAGGTCATTCTCTGTTAACTCTGTCGTGCCATTCTTTTGATGACCGTGTTTCGCTGTGTGTCCTTCTGGGGAGACTAGGGCTGCCACGAAGGGTCATCCCTGGCCGCGTTTAGGGAACTTTTTCTAGAGCTAGCAACAGACCCTTGTAGCAGGCCAAGCTTGGCCTGCCCTCTGTCTAGGACCTGAAGCTGAGTTGGAAGGCAGATAAAACATTCTGTAGTCTATAGTCATCACAGCTGAAGGGGAGGAGGGAAAGAAAGGTGACTGCTAGTTAGCAGGCCAAGGGCTGATGGGAATAAAACCCCTTCTCTGGGAACATTCTTCTGGTCCCCAGAGAGCTCCTCTAATTATTGGTGGGGCTAGGACCTTTTGTATCCCCCAGCCCCTCTGTAACTTCAGTCATCTAAGCCAAGAGGGGGCAAGGTCCCAAGAGAGCCTTAGAAACACCTCCTCCCCAAATGCTCACAATGTAGTTTATTTGAATTCTTGCAACTTCACGGAACCCACTGCCCCCCCCCTAAAAATGAAACTAGATGCGTTCTCTTCAGGGACGGACCAAGAGAAACGACTCATTGGACTGGTTTGTGGATCAGGAATTTTGAGGAGGAAGAGGCCTATAGAGACCTTCTAGTCTAGTCTAGTCCCCTCATTCTGCAAATGGGGAAACTGAGGCTCTGAGAGTTGGACTCGTCCAAGTCACAAAATGACCAAGGTGTGATTTGCACACAGGTCCTCCATCTCCAAACCCATTGCTCTTCCCACTGTACCATAGGTACTGGAGAACAGGAGAATTCAAAGGTTAGGCTACATTGGGAGACAGGAGGCTGGCTAGAGCAGGAGCTTCTGAAGTGGTTGGCTCCCCACGGTCACTGGCCTGGCAAGTTAAGAACATCAGATTTGGGGGCCGGGCTGTCGGCTGTCTCTCCCCAGATGAGCTAACTGTCATTCGCTGACCGGGAGAGAGACGTGGGGCCGTCCCCTTCCCACACAGTTCATCCAGATGCTCCCTCTGGGCTGGCTCGTCTTCGGCCTACGATCTGCTGGGGGCTTTCTGAGGAAGGCTTCTCAGGTTGGGTCAGGGGATTTATCGCCCTCCTGGGTGGTTGGTTGTTCTGTCTGAGGCCCTGGTGATGTGGTGGTGGTGGTGCTACAGAAAGCGTCAAGGTCGCCGGGCATGCGTCGTTTCTTATGCAACCTTGGGCTCAGGGCACACAGGGGTGAGCCCTCTTGAAAGAGTTAAAAATATCTTCCCATCTTGTAAGCACTCTGTTTCCAGAAAGAACCTCTCTTACACACACACACACACACACACACACACACACACACGCACACGCACACGCACACGCACACAACACACACACACGCACACAACACACACACATGCACACAACACACAACATGCACACACACACAACACACACACACACACACACACACACACGCCCCTTCTATCCAGACTTAGTCCTTAATAAGACTGCTTTTCATGGCCCCATTTACCAGAGTTCTCACCAAAGACAGATCTCTATACAACTCCTATGGCTGCACCTCACTCTGGAGCCAGAGGGCCCTCGGAAGTCAGCTAGTCTAATCCCCTCATTTTACAGATGAAGAAACTTAGGCCCCAGGAGGATGTGTGACTTGCCCAAAGTCACATGGGTAATAAGCATTTGAAATAGAATTTGAACTCAGGATCTCTGACTCCAGAGCCAGGGCTCTTTCCACTCTGCCTTCCTGCCCTTGGTAGAAGGAGGCTGAAGGGGGCAAGACATTTCTGAAAATTCTGGAAAAATGTGCATGGGTAAGGGAATGGGGGAGGAGAAAGAAGGGGAGGAAACCCCAGGTGGAGTGCAGGTGCTGACCTGGGCTTCAGTGTCTTCCTCTCCTAAGATCGGGGGCTCTGTGTCACTGTGTAACAGGTCCTGTGTCGTTGGCTTTTTTTCATTCCAACGTCTGTGACAGTATGGCTGTACCAGCTTTCGTGCTGTACCATGGCATTAAAGTGAAGTATCAGGATGTAGGCTATGTGTGGTTTGTCTTCTTTGGGGCTGGTTGCCTTCTCTCCCCTACCCCCAACTTCACAGAACCATAAGATTCAGAGATAGAAGGAACCACAGTGCTCATCTGACTGGACCTCATCATTTTACAGATGAAGACTCCAAGGTCAAGAAAGGCCCATTCCATTGGGACACCTTTGTGACTGACAGCACTCAGGTAAGGAAAAGGTAAATGTTGTCTTTACCAAGCAGAATTGGTCACCTTCCTGCCTGCCCTGTGGCCTCATAAGAAGACTTCTGGAGCTGACAGCATGGGTTAACCTGGAGCCCAGAGCCCTAGGAATAACTCCGAAACCCTCAGGGCTCACTGATCACTTTCATAAGAAGCCTACCTTCCTTGCTTTTGAATGAAGAACCTCAAATATCTGTGCCAACTTCATTCACTGCCTCCAATTAATCTTCCTAATGCTCTTTGCCACCAAAACCAGGAATTACCTGAATTACCCCAAAGGGCTCTACAACCCTTGGGCTTCTTTCCATGTCCTCAGATCAGTGTCCCAGTGGTGGGGCCCTGAATGAAGGTTTCCATTTTGTTTCATGTAGCTCGGGCTTGAAAAGCAGCAGCTTCATTGAGTAAGATGGCTCTTTAGGGAGATTTTCACAAAGCAACCTCCCAATAGGTGAAAAACCACAGGGCCAATGGCTCCTTGGCTGAGGCTCTCCAGTGTCATGCCTGGGCCCTGCTTGAGTATTCCTCTATGGTGCAAGCAACCAAGATGTCTTAGCCTTAGCTTCTGGGTTCAAAGGATTCCCTGTGTCTGAAACATGAGCATACTGATCACAGTTGGATGGCTTGCATAATAAGTTTTATTGAAGGAAACATGGGAGGATAGAGATGAGAAGCTCCAGAACAGGCGTTCTTAGCCTTTTTTGTGTGTCCTGGACCCCTCAGATGGTCAGGGCTAGTCCAAGCACCCTTTCCTTATCAGAATAATATTTTTAAATGCATAAAATAAAATACTTAAGATTAATCCTTAAGATCATATGAAAATGAAGGTATCAGACTTGCTTTTTTAAATTCCAGTCCATGGACTTCCAAGTTAAGAAGATAAGCTAGGAAGTGGTCAGGCTCTTTCCATTACAGCATACTAGAAGGCCTGGGCGGACCTTTCCTTACTGATGACTCATTGCTTATCTGATGCAGAGGCCCGAGAGTCACCTCCTCCCTTCCCGGCTCCTCTGGGTCCGGGGATTCCTTCCCCATCATCAGATAGGCAGCTGTCCATCAGCCCTTCTGGACTCAGCCGGTTTGCAAGGCCAGAGAGCTGTCAACCCTACCCAGCCGGCTGAGCCCTGTAGTCAGGGAGGCAAAGGAGGGAGGCCGCTACAAAGGAAAGCTCGGGGACCGTCACCAGCATAAAAGAGAGAGAGGACACTGAAGGAGGACCAGCTGGTCCCCAGGTCTACGCCAGGCTTCCCCCTCAGGGTCCTGTATTTGCCCCTCCCCTGTCCCAGGTGTGCGACACACCCTTTTCCTGGGCGGCTTTCGAGCCCCGCCCCTTTCGTCCAAGTTTGTTTTTTCAGTCCCTTCCCCAGGTATGCGTTCAAGCCCCGCCCCTTTCCTAAGTTTTCGTGCCAGCCCCGCCCCTTTCCCAGGTTTGAGCCCCGCCTCTTTTCTGGATTCTATTTTCAGCATCCCCACTCTCTGCGTCCTATCCCCGCCCCCTCGCCCACTCTCTGCGTC